GCTCCCGTTATTCACATACCAGGTACTGTTGTTTCTTCCTCCTTACCATGGATGCTCTTTTCAGGGAAATCAACAAACAAATAAATATTTCTTCTAGGGTTTATCTTAGGGTTTAGAGGCTTGATGAGATTTGATGTATTTGATTCCATTTTAGTGTAATCATATGAGGATTTTTTTAATTACTTGAGGTTTTCTAGATACTTCAACTGGAAAATTTATTTAGCAAAAATTTTTTTCTGTATTTGATAAAATGATCAGGGGAGTATTTCTATGCAAGTTATCAAGGCTGGATGCAAATGATTTTGGGTGTTCAGTTACAATCAATAATTTTTTTAGGCTTTTTAGAAAATTACTTTTTTAAAATGTTGAAATTGCTGCTTCCAGGTCGGACTTTTCCTGTTGTTGAGTTCTTTCTGGAGGATTCTATAGACTTGACAAAGTGGGTATAACATTTTTGTTGTTAGTACAGAAAATGTTAACTTGGAACAGGAAAATGTGTATCTACTGTGTACATGTTTGCCACATTACAAAATACCAAGTTTTTATACTTGCGTATGATTTACTAAGGGCATCACATGATCAAATATTCTCCAGGTCAAACTTGGAACTATCTGGTAGTATTTCCTGAGTTTTTTACAGTTTTCAAACTTTAGGTCCAATAGATAGAAGTCCTTGTTTAAAATTTAATTTTGATTCAAGATAGGAGAACATTTCACTGTTGTTAGCAAATAAGAACTCTGAAAAGTCAGTGTCACAAATAATAAATAAGAAAAAAAGTTTTTGACGAAAAGCTGTCGGTAATTGCTAATTCCCCTGTGCTTCCAAAAAATATTTGATGAATGGTTACTAAATTAAAGAGAAACATTTTGTGTGTTGGGACTAAAAATACTATATATTCTAGAGTTATTGTGCAAACAGTTTATTATGTTTTTATTGAAATGCTACATCTTGGTCCAATTTTCAGTTTTTGATGAAGGAAAGTTTTTTTCCTTTGTTTAATTAAACAATACTACAAGACATCAATAAGACAATTATTGATATTATTTTTTAACCAATCTTTTAATTTAAGACTTTCTCTCTTTGTTTCAGGTTTCAAGTTGATCCCAGTTCACCCTATGCAAAGCCTTTGAAAAGTTCCAATGTCCCCACTGCAGCTGGTAAAAAGGGACAGTTAAACCGAGACATTCAAAACATACAAGACTCTGTGACATCTACTGACTTCAAACCACCTGATGACAAGCTTGATGACCAGAACTTAACAGAAGATCAGATGGCCTGGAGATATTCCAGTAAGTGAAGAATATCAAGGAGTCATCACAATGTTTAGTTTTCAATTTGAAGTTTGATTACATTTACTCTGAGAATCAGAACAAAAATGATATTTTGGGGGTCTTCTGCAAGTTATAGAAGGGTGATTCACTAAACAGGTTATTTCTTAACCTTTTACATCCAACATACTGTTCTCCATACCGTCCGTCCTCCATATGTTTCCCAAGGTACTGATGGGGAACATTTGATGAACCATTTCACTCCGGATATCTTGAAAGTAACTCCCCTTCCTGTTTGCCATGTACAATTCTTACGAAATTAGTTCAGAGAATTTGGTACCAGATCAACTAGTTATCGCCTAATTGATATTTTTCTTTATTCTCATCACTTGTCTGATAGATATTGTATTAATATAGTAAGGAGAAACTCTGTCCTGGTCACTCACAGGAGTGAAGGGGTTTTAAACAATTAAGAGCTTCTTTAGTTGGTGATCATTTTTCTTTTATTCTTGTAACATTGATGTATGATTCAAGGGTGACATTGTAAGGAGAAATTAGATGCTAGTCACTTGAAGAGTTAAGGAGAATAGTCCATTTTACAGTTGTGTGCTTGGTTGCCAAACCTTTGAATGGGAGTGAGGCTAGGGTTGACCTTGTTATGATACAAACCTTGCTGCCTTTCAAATGTAAATCACTTTGATATCATGCTAAGTAGATACAGGTCTCTATCACAACAAGGTCACCTTCAGCCTCACTCTGAATCAAAGGCTTGGCAACTAAGTACACAACTGTAAAATGGCCTATTGGCCCATAGCTTCTTGATGTACTTATCCAATTACAACAATTACAATTTATCACTTATAGAGCGCTATTTACAATGACAGATCAACAGCGCTTTACAATCAATCCTAACCCGCCCATCCCACCCCAGGGGAGGACATCCATCACACAGTAATCTCGTGCGTGGGAAATTAACGTCTCCTACCCCTAACCCTGTAGGAGACGGGACCTCCATTTATTCGTCCCTATCCGAGAAGACTAGAATATCTAACCATTTCTTGATGTTATAGAAAGGTAGCATATTCTTCTCAATTATTTTAAGACCTTGAGTGTTGGTCCGGCCGGGGCTCGAACCCTCGACCTCCCGCACAACAGTCCAGCGCTCTATCCATTGAGCTAACCGGGAGGCGGTTTTCCCTGGGAGGCGGGTATCCCTGGTTTCTTTGGCTTAAAGTGACCTTCACTAAGTCTACTCTTTGGAGTTCAAGTTCTACATCAGAGGTAGTCTATCCCATGCTCCCCACCTCACAGCATATTGTCTGGTTCTCTAACAGTCAGCCATTACACAGTTGTATTCCTACTAACGATCCATCAACTATTTTTGCACGCGCGCAATTGGTCTAAACGCATCACGTGACCGAATTTCCCCAGCTAAAACTGGGAATATCCAGGGATGTCGCCCAATATTCCTCAATTTTCAAACCTTACATCTGCTACGATAAGTCCTCGTTTAAAGTTTAATTCAAGATGAGAGAGCGGTTTACAGTTGTTAAGGACGAAGGGAAATGTTTGTTTGTTCATTAAGTCGTACCACGTACCAGAGAATACTAAAAAAAGACCAAACATCCCACACAGCGAACAGTTATCTGTTCGTAAATATTTTTTCACGCGTATGCGAAATGTATAAAGGATAAAAAACACAAGAGCCTCTATTTTGCACGAAAATATGCTCGTGTATTTGTCCTGAAAACTGTATCTTGGAACAGATTATGTCCGCAGTCAAATATCCGTGCATATTTTCGCGCTAAATATAGGCTACATTAATGTCTTGCCTTTGAACACAACACAGTGACTTAACAATTTTTTTCGTTCATTATAGATTACAATAAAAGTACAATTTTGTCTCTTTGCACAATGGACCACAACAAGATTAACTATGATCTGGTAATTGCCATCCTGGAGTGGATTGTTGGAGAGGAACACGAGGTAACAATGTGAGTCTGTCTTTGGATGCGTTGCTGGGGGTATTAAACAATAATATGGTGTTATCAACTGAGTTGATGAAGTAAATTGACCACGGAAGGGCTAAAACTCGAAAGACAGCTTTATAAACTCTTCAAGTGTGCCCCCCGACTGTGCCCCCCCTTTGGAAAATTCAAGTTACATCTCTATAACCTCTACGAATCGTCACTGGATCTGAGTCACCTTAAATTGTTGTTGCTTTTTGTGTTATTGCAGTATCCCAAAACAGGAGCCATTCTGGTGTTTCTGCCTGGCATGGGAGAGATTATGACCTTGCTGGATCAGCTTCAAAATCATAAAAGATTCAGTCCGAAAATCTCTGACAGGTACAAAACTTGAAAGTGTAATTATTTCGTATCCCTTGTGGGAGAAATTGTGTTCATCAGAAGGATAAGTAAATCAAGGAGCAAGTAAGATATTCAACTTTAATTTTGAACTGTAGCCATTACTCTTTATTTCCAGGTTCAGAATACTCCCACTGCATTCTACACTCTCAAGTGAAGAACAGAGTTTGGTTTTCAAGTGAGTACAAAATGTTCCGTCTCGAATAAGAATCCATGCCATTGTTCCTAGCGGTATACAGGACGCTTGTCAAGTATAAACCTTTAATAAGAGCCTTCTATTCCACGAGGCTTTCTGTAGCTTTATGCAAAAGCATCGGAGCGCAAAGTCCAAAATCCTTAAGGAGACTGAGATTTTTCCCTTGTCTCGCACTCGTGACACTGAATAACATTTTCCTTTGTTCAAAAAACGAGCTCAAGTTTGTCGTCTTCCTCGATTTAATCCTTTTTTAATCAGTGTTGTTTACTTGTGGTAATATGCACTTATCGACTGAGTGGAAAGACTAGGTGAGCGCCCGAACCGCGTTTTATAAAGTGGCTGCTTCTCCTTTAATGGCCCCGCTCATATCCTCCTCATCCGGGATTTTTAAAATGTTGTTTTTCAAAAAATCGTGCGGGGCCTTATGGGTCATGCGATGCAATAATGTTTTTTCATAAAAAAAGTGGGCGTAGGGCCTATTGGGTCATATGATGCAATTTACGTACTGACAGTAAAAACTGTGTTCCAACAATTACGCATTACAGGAAGCAAAAAGAAGGAGTGCGAAAGATAGTTTTATCCACAAACATCGCCGAGACCTCAGTGACCATAGATGACGTCGTGTTTGTCATTGACTGTGGAAGAATGAAAGAGAACCGGTAAGCCATGGTATAAAATCGAGACGTTTCCCCTTTTTCGCTAAGCTTCCTTAGAGCGCTTTTCAATGAATTTTCATGAAGTCAAAACTAAGCAATCACATCAGCCAATCAGAAAATAGAGATTTAGAGCTTAAAGTAAACATTGGTTGAGAGTATCAGGGAGTGCAATGGTGTATTACCAAAGTGTTCAATGTAAACATTTGTTTTAAAAATTGCTTCGTGAAAACAGAGGAAGTGGAGGAATGGGGGGTCTGTGACTGAATTAGATCATTATTTTCTATCAACTGCGTTATTAATTAACAAATGGTAAACACCACAGCGTACACTATTGAGTTATGGATGCACGCGGGAGGTTGCTAAGCACGAAAGAAGCGTAAGAGTCGCTCGAGGCGACAGCCGAGAGCGACTCTAGCTTCTTGAGTGCTTAGCAAACCTCCCAAGTGCATCCATAACTCAATAGTGTACGCTGTGGTGTTTACCATTTGTTTTATAACATAACATTGATACATTGTAGCTAAAGAGTTCCCGTTTATTTAACAAATCTTACGCGACCAGAAAAAACAAGCGCGCGCGGAAAAATAGTCTTTGCATTTGCTCACGTCAGCAGCGTACACCCATGGGCAAATGGGGAACGCTAAATTGACCAATCAGAGCGCGCGCTTTACTTTGGTTATGTTATAATTGTA